ATGCTGCAAATAACTTGCTTTGGAAATTGATGCAAGGTTACATTGGGAAATTTCATGACAAGAGTAGGCTTGAAGCTAATTACTATCAAGAAAAATGGTACTTCGTAGTTGGTTGGAGCCGAATTAGCTGGAGAAAATCTCTATTTTGCGCTATGTCTCATAACTGTATGTTAATGGGTAGTCCCAACCCACATCTGGGCTACAAAACATCCCAAAATCTCTCTATGCCTAAACAATTGTCATTGATTTCCTAAAATATCTGCACATGGCAAACCACTAACTTTGACTACACTCACTCCTTGAATCCTACAACTATCTCTCTAAATCCAATGAACAATAAAAGACTAACACCTCAATGTGTTCCAGACCACCACCTGTCGCACAGCACCAGAATGACACAGTTTGCACCACACTGAATCACCATCAAACTTGAAGTTTGTTACATAGTGATGCGGCACTATGTAACAAACTTCCTTGCACACATGGCATCTTTAGATTGAGTGTTATTTACGTATAAACACACGCATTATTGAGATGCTGTATACTTGTCCCTTCTCTTTAATACTCCATTCGAAACCAAATTACCTATCACATTTTGAAAAAGTAATTTTAGATGATATTTTTATATATTTTCGATTTGGATGATCCCAAGACTAACTTTTGCACATCACTACTATTTTTTCATGTGATTTTAAAGTTATACTTCTAAGAACGTACATTAACTACTGGCCTTAAGATTTAAACTTTAAATTTAATTTATTAAATAATACTTATTAATAAATTTAACTTTTAGGGTTAATATTTTTATATAGTACAAGAATAATAATTTTTTTTTACACTATATATAATTTTTGTTGATTTTTTTTTCTATCTTGATTATACAATGGAAGGTAACAATTTCTCATCTTTTATCCAACCACACCCGCATATCATATAATTTGAATTTAAGATCTTTTCTTTTCAACGAAAAAAAAAAAAAAAAAAACTGATGAGTTACTTACGTCTTAACATAATTCTTGTTAATTAATTTCACTTTATTAAAAAAAATTCAATTTTATATGTTATATAAAAGTATTATCTAAAATTACAAAAAAAAATTATCATTTATATATATTATATAAAGTATCATTTAAGATTACTTCAAAATTCAGTGTATGACAAGTAAATTCGCCCGAAGGGAGTAGTAGATCGATATATACAATGATTACTGGATTGGAGTGTTCTTTCATATTGAACATGGATATAATTCATCTCATTAGCAGTCGGAAGTACATCTTAAATTCTAATTCAAACTCCACCATCTTACCATTTAGAAGCTATATCCCTTGAACAAATCTCTATTCTTTGTTTCACCCACCTGTGTTTATTTCTTATTCCGTTATTCAGACTCATCAAAGTGTGTTTCCACAGAGCTTATTAGCCCTACGTTTAATTTAACACACTGCCTCTACTTTTAATTGAACACAAGCCTTTAAGAAAAAGGGGTAATAAGAAAAAGGGGTAATACTGGGTCAAGCTAAATAAAGCAGACAATGATACACAAGATGAAGAAAGGGGGATAGAGAATTGGTTCTATTCCAGTAAAAAAGAATCACGATGCAAGCCATATAAGTAAACAGAAGCTAGGACAAGTAATATGTCAGAATTAAATATTCTGTATTAATGTTCAGAACAAGACATAGGTTACAGGAAGACTGGAAGAGATATAACTCATCAAGCAAATCCCATTTCCATTAACAAAGAAAAAGGAACAAATACTTAAAGATACTGAAAGAAGAACGGTTTCATAACGTGGACAGCAGGGCACAGCCCAGGTTCTAAGCATAGAATCTAGATTCAACTCTTCCTAATACGGATTGTGTTTGTCAAATTAGCGATTAATAGATGGATAAATCATTTACATGCATTGAAGGCATATAATTTGTATTTTATTCCCTGTCAGAAAAAAGAAAAGGGTTAATTCACCACTTCCTCATAATCCCCTTTTGTAGCTAATTAATTTCAGAGGAACATGTAATCCAATGATCCATAGACACCTCCAATAAAACTCACAGTGAAACAGAACGTGCTAGAGAAAACGTTACCCACATTAACAACCACAAACTTCTTCACAGCAGTACACAACCAGTAGCAAGCAAAAGATGCCCACTAACATCAGGAGACTCAAACATTCTAACTCATTAGAACATAAAGATAGCAGAAACAAAAAGCACAGCCAGAGGCTGAACATTTCATCCGTCAATTGTTACATTAAAAGATTAAAATCTTCATAATAAACAAGGCACAACGGTTACTAAACAAGACCATTCCACAAGCATTCCAACTGTACCTTCCCAGCATTCAAGAGGTTCTTGATTTCTTTGGGAGGGTTTAATCCCAGACGCTGAGCTCGCTCCCAGCGAGCCAGTCTGGTCATCCCCAAGCAAGGTCCATATGCCATGTTCATATCAAATTGCCTCAATACCTGCTCATTCTGATCATAATCATCTGTTACCAAGAACAAGAGAAAGTAAGCTGAGGAAATCCACAGGCATCATAATCTAATTAAAAACATTCCAACAGGCTTCCATAACTTTCA